GGTGGAACGCGAAGTTCTGTACGTCGGCTCAAACTAACCGTTTACTGTAATTGTATCTGGTGAGAGGCAGCCAAGTGTTTCAAAATTGTAATTTGAGTGACTTTTCTATGATCGATCCATCAATATAATTAATTGTGATTAAATAAATGTACTTCGATTAATTTATAATTTTATTCTCATTGATCTATTATCTGAGCTAATGGGATTTTAGATTTTCGGGAGTCTCAATCATGTCAATGAGATCGTTCCGGCAATTCTATACCATTTAAACAGTTTTACAGTGTACAATATTCGGTTATCCGGGATTCAGTATTTGATTAACCGGGCAAGGCACCCGGTGATTAACCCAGATGTTCGGAATTTTATTGCTCAATGCAAGTAATTGTTGATGAGTTCGTATTGGCTTGAGTTACACTCAACAAAACTTGCTTCATCTGATGGGTGCGCGACTTAAACGCCTGCCGACTTGGGAATTGAATGACGTCCGGAAAGAAGCGGATGAGGCAAAAGCGCGGACAGTTTTACAAATTGGGATTAAGGTTTTCCCGTCTTTTATCGTCCCCTGTACATCAGTATAGCGTTGCTGGTGCTGGCGTACACCCCGCAGAATCTTCCCTGGATCCTGAAAACCGGCTTTTGTCGGGGGAGCGAGACTCCCCGCATAGCGTAACAAGAGCCTTTAGAGCACCAGACGCGTTTTCAGCTCTCCGCGTGCATCCCGGTCGCACACGCATGGCACTTATTTTCAGACAACCGAACCGTCGTTCCTCAACTGCAAGAACATCTGATTATGACAGCTTCCGAGTTCCCCTTGTTGGCTGACATCCGTTTTGTTTTTATCCGATTTTCTGGGAGGAACGCTTTTTGCTGTGGGCCGCTTCCGGTCGAACAATGAGCGTGTTGTTCCTGGTGGATTTGCTGAAAATTTTCTTTCGTGTTTGTCGAGCCCACTTGAGTGAATGCACAACAGTGCATCTTTTGTCGTCCTTGGGGGTTATCTAGAGGAAAGAGAGAATGTCAAATGGGGAAGAGCTATTTCCGAGGACGACTGAATCCGCCGTTCCACTGGATGACAATTATCCTGGACGCGCGCAACTAGCCTTCATGGACTTGAACATCTGAAATATGGACTCGCTCGGCCTGTAATTTCCAGGTTGGTTCACCTAACCATAATTTCCCGTGTTCCGTCGCCTGGAGAAACAGTGAACGGATCCGGAGTGCTAATCAAACATTCTTCATTCTTCTTGGATTTCGCAGCATTTTTTACCTGCACTCGGGGCATTCTAATCTGTCGATTCTTCAAAAAATCAATGAGAATAAAGTTTTTGTGTAAGCAGGTTGATCTGGCTTATATTTTGTGTATAGCTGGCAAATGAAACGTCAAGACTATACTATTGTAGTATGATTTTTCGCGTCTCCGAACAAAATCAGACGAACGCAATCTAGTTGGGATTTTCGATTTTGAAATATTTATCACTTCTGCGAAAGTGTTCATGGATGTTCGTTTGGGAAGATGATTGGCTCTTACTCCAGATTTCTCCCGCTGTCTATCCGGCCTTTTTTACGTAGGAATAAAAAGGAAACGCGGACGAAGTGGTGAACATAACCTCAAGGATAGTTACGGAGTGTCGTAGCTGTGGAGGTCCGTGGTTGTAGAAGGGATATGAAATGGGGGTAAACGTGCTGCTAAAACTGCTGACGTGCTTGGGAAGTTAACGAAGTAGAACTAAATTTTAAATTGAGGAAGACGAAGGGCTGACGGGAATTTGAAAATTCGTATGGGGCGGTGATGAAGCAGCGCTTTTCATGCCGTACATTGACCGAAGCTGCGATCGTGGAAAGCCTGTTGGAACAGTACCTTCGATTGTGTTGGGGCTGAGGAAGAACACTCCAGTGGTCTCGCTGGCCCACAATTTTTTACTGTCGCATTGGGAAGATGAGAGCGATGGAAACTAGTCCGATTTCATTGTTCACTCATGGTCCTCCGCGCATTGTTCGTCACGGATTTAATGCCAGGACAATGAAAAGACATCCACCCTCATCTACGTTCGTGTCGGAGCGGCGGGGGTCGTACCGCGAAATCGAATTTCTAGCTCGTCCGCGTCACAGAAGAGAGGAAATTGGTGGAATGAATCTCATCACGAGCCCGAGTGTTCTGCTCGATTCGGCACGTTAAATTTGCATCCACGCATCCGGCCGGGGGGAAGGGGATGGAATTCGATCATTTTTATTTGTAACGAAGGCGGCTGTCGTCGTCCGTGACCCTCCTCCAGATGTCTCGTGCTCTGCTTCCGTGATCACCACGATTACGGAGAGCCTTGAGGTTTTTCTTAATCGTTCCGGAGCAATTGTTGTACAAAACGAATGGGTTTGCTAGAACGTGACTTCGTCCAAGCTTGGCTTGTCCTTCTCATTCCCCCTTCCTGCTCCCGAGAAGTCACTCGATTTGCGTGTGTCGTATTTTATTTATTAAATCTTTTCATGCTGCGCAAAAGCTCATACAGGATGAGGAATGTTTGCACCCAACATCTCTCTCTCGAGCTGGACATTTTTCCTGAAAAAGGAAACATTTGCCCTCTCCCTTTGCTTACGGCACCGCAAGAGCTGAAGGCCCCGATTATTGCGACTTGAAGCTCAGTCGGTGTTCGAACCGTTTCGAATGAATCTTGGGTTTTCTGCCTCTCCGCCGCAGGCGATTGATGAGATGTTTGCCTTCTTTTATCGGTGAAAATAATGAAGAGACTTCTTTCACCCGCATTCATTCTTGCTTCTATTCACCATTATTCTAAGACCTGATTTTTTCACAAGAATTGACTGAAAAAGGTGGGTGCCTTCAACAGTTGATGGCATCTTAAATTCGGTAAAATTTTAGATTCCAGCTTCGAAAGATCAATTCTGGTAACTCTGACCGACATATTTTAAAATGTAACATTTTTGTCAAATTCAATTGAACGATTCAGGAGGGAAATGCTGTACAATTTTGAGTTTCTGGTGCCATGTTCAGTTGTTTTGAGTTGCCACGGGGATATTAAAGTAAGAGCGATGCCATTTTGTGAAGAATGAGGGCTCAATGTTCTATTCCAGATGTACTGTACTCTCATGTTGAAAGTCAGGTAACTAAGCTCTTTTTCATCCAAAATGTGCCTTATTAAGTAAATGTGCATTTAATTTCCGTGAACAATACCTCAATTTATTTTTGAGGCCCGAAAAAGAAGTTGCATCTTATATTCGAGCTGATTTGATCAAGGTCGCGTATCGTGTTGGTTTTGTTTTTTCTTCAATTTTTTGCGGTTTCGTTCAACAGCTCTGGTCTGCGCTTCTTGAATGCACCGCAATCATGCACTGCCGAGAAAACAGTTCTATCTTAACCCCGCGAAGCACTCCGTTAGACATTACAATACTGGGTATTTTCCAGGATTTCATTAAGCATTCATTTTATGGAAGAGGAAAAGAAACCTACACGTTTGCTTCGAAAAACCTTCGGGGTGTTCAGCTCATCCTCGCCCCAGTTGGCCGACGGGAACTATGCAGAAACCCGATGCCGTTCCATTTGATTTCACAGTACAGGGGAGAAATCTCATTTCTGCGCCGCGTGACGTCCGCCTTTCAGTCTGGCTCGCTCGTGATCCCACCGCAAGGGAAAAACCTCTTGCTACGGGACGTGGAACTCGCATTTTTCTCGGTCCGTCTGAAAGCCAATGACGGCGCGGCGCGTTGGTAGTCCAGTCTTTGCGAGCGAACATAACGAGCCAAATCTAGGCTCGGGTGCGAGGGCGCCTGCCCGGCCCGCGCTTGCGCGTAGTAGCACTCACAGCGACACCTTGTCGAGTGAGCACGAACTTCTCACTCCCCGCGCTGGCTGCGCAGAATGCATCTTGCGCGTTACAATACTGTATTCGATTCAATATTCCGCATGCTGGCAAAGCGATCCTTCCTGCTCATTTTTATTTATTCCGGGTTGAGAATATGTTTCTTTGTTTCTCGACGCATCGTGCAGAATTTCAAAGAAGAAAAGCAGAATGACACAAGTCTGTAAAGATTTTCGAGAGCTTGAGTTGTATTCAAGAATAATGTCACGGATCGGATCTTTGATTATCGGTCCACTGCCTAAACGCCAGAAATTTCACACCTGTTTTTAATGCTCACAATCAAATAAATCTCATATTTCGTTGCGTGTGCAACTATGCACTGGTAGACTCCCTGCAAAAATTTCATCCACAGTGATATTATCCATGCATGAAATATTTTTTGCCCGCCCTGGCAAATCAGCTAATGATTTTTAAATATCTCGTTCACAATTTACCTGTTGAGGTATTATTATATCGTTATTTCTGTCCCCTGAGGACTGCTAAACGGATTTCATTGTCCACTGCCTAAACGTCCCCCTGATGGACCCAGGAGCAAATACAGTACTGTATCACCAACCAAACTCACCATGTTCCAAATGACTCAACAAAAAAGCTGATAGCTTGCTGTTTTAGGATGTTTAATGGAATGTGCTGTATTCTTGATTATTCGAAAGTCCATAATTTGAATCTCGGTTTTCATAACAACATTCCAATATTTTCAATAAGTTTTTGCCCACTATATCGTTTTCTCCTGATCTCCAAATTTAAAAAATTCCTTGGCTTCATTAGCGTGTTCTAATCGGACTCCGTGTAATGTCTGAAGGATCGGTGGCTCTAAATTTGAAAGTAAATTACGGTTCTTGTCTATTGTAAAACTTGGTCATCATTCGGGCATCTAAACATTTGATTAGCCCAACTACTCTTGGTACCAGCTAGTTCGGATAATCGGTGTCAATGATATATGACGGTCCTGTGAGAGGCACCCGAGAATTTTTCCGAATGATTGAGATCCCAGTATGCAGTGTCTCCTTCAAAAACTGTTCCCATGTGGAATTTTCAATTGATGTTTCCAAGCCAACGTGCTTGGGATGGATGCATACCTACTGATTTACTGAGAATTAAATTTGGTGCTTTTTGTTTTTGTCATTACAGGATCTGATGTTTCACGCTCGCCCACCGTCGTCATCATTGTCGTACACCGGCACTGGCAACGACGATGTCCAGTCGCCAGGCTCCGGTGGGACACCTGGCCCACTCCACGCACCCGGTTCTCAGCTCAGCGCGGACAACACTAGCGAAGCAGGTAAATACTCCTCGAATCGCTCGCCCGTTAATATTCATGGAATGCGGCACCCGCTGCGATCGGCCAGGTACCGAGGCTACGGGGGAAACGAAGTGCCCGAGACAAGAAATAAATCCACGGCCGGCTTCGCGTTTTAAAAAGCCCCTTACGTGAATCCAGGGGGATGCACGCCGAGGGGTCTTGAGAGTATCCAGGCAATTTGCATGGGAAAAGGATTCGTGACAGGGCGGCATAAATCTCGTGGATTTTCCCAATGGGAGGCCGCGCTTCCACGCTCTCGCAGGGACGGCTTTCTTTCACGGCTGTCCGAGGTGGCCACCCTCAAGATAATCCTTAAGACTTTCTGCTCATCATCCCGCAGCTAGATTAATCGTTATAATTTTTTTGCTGCTACGCAGGGAAAGGGGTTACTCGTCGTGTGAACCCCGTGCGTGCAGCTGCGACGGTGTCATGTAATGAACCCTCTTGACTGACGTTGTACAAACGGCGAATGGGTTTTTGTGTTCGGGGCGTCCCCCCTCGCTCGTTTTTGCACGAGCTGCTGCAATCTGTTGTGTTCCCGTGGCAAAGTGAAGTGGCCCGGGGACACTGATCCATACACTAATCATGCATTCATTCTGGATATTGGAAACGATCGTATCGTTGAGTCGAGCGGTCATTGTTGCCCCCTGCGTGTTTTTCTTTCTCCGCGTGTTTTCCCTGCGGGGTACGCGGGGGTCGCAAATCGCTTGTAGTTTTTGTGAGTTTACTCCGCGCCGAGGACCCGATTTTCGACGCAACCCCCTTTTTTCTGTCGGTTGTCACGGGTCAGGAAATGCTAACGGAAAATGTCCTCTGGCGACCTGCATCTAGGGTTTATTCTTCTTTTGAAATTGCTATAGATTTGCAGGATCATAACATTCAAATATTTGCTCTCACGTGCTTGCGAATATCTTGCCCCGTGCCCCTCGGAGTTCTCCGAACATGTTGATCTTGAAACGTTTCGAGTGGTCTTGTCATCTCTCTCGCATTTGTTCCACGTTTGCGGAGTGTTCAAGTACAGAGGCGGTGTAAATAACTCACACTTCAGTTGAAAATCGAAATCAATTGGCCGGGAAGTCAGCGGAATCTGTCGCTCGAAACGGAAATTACGATACTGCACTGAAGTACTTGCAATATTGCGTTCTTAGGGCTCAAGACTAATCCTGGAAAGCGTAAATTAGTGTCTTGAAAGTTAATTAAAAAAACTCCAAGTGTCCAAAAAGAAAGTGCCGTGATAGTGCGGTCAGTCCGAAATCTATTGTACAGTACCTGCGTGGTTATCAAGGTCTCATCATGATTTCTGACTAGTTTTCATCTTGTCACGGTTGGAATTTTTTTTTTTTTAAGGAGCGGAGCATGTGAATCGAGGAAAGCTCGGAATAGATATCAACTCACAAGCTTCTTGAGGAAATCGAGTAATGACCAATTTATACGTTATCATTCATAATAACGATCGTCAATTGAGCAAAATGAATCAAGTGCAAATAATCAGGGAAATCGTTCACCCATTTCACTGTTTTTAAGGATGCAGTAGATTTTGTGGACTTCCTTCGTGACGGTATACTGTACAGTACTACTAACGTTTCACCTTGAAATCGAATCGAGTCGGAGCTTTTGCAGATCGGTGAAATTTAGCTTTATTTGTTTTGTTTAGAACTTTAGCGATTGATTTTGCGATTCGAGTTCTTGCTCGGAATGCGCCGTGGCGTGTCATTCACCTTGAGACAGGCTTCTTGGATGCGTAAATCAATCCTCGGCATTTTGACCAGCGTTTCGCTTTGCTGTAAGACCAGGATGAAGGGCAGATGTCTTGTAGTTTCGGCCGCTCTGCTTCATCGTTGAGCCTCCACTTGAAAGAAACATGCAGTATTCATGAGATGGACTTTCAGACAATTGACCCCAACCAGCAGTCGAGGGGCTAGCAGCCAGATCGGAATTTCAAGGCCCGCAGAAAACGAGCTGCTTTTATTCATCACAAATATTCTTTGGAATATTGACCTTGGCGTGTTTCAGAGCCTTCTGCTATTTTTTAGTAACCGAAAACGCACTAGGAAGTCAAATCGTTTCAGTACGATACTTGCTTTTTATTCAGCCAAAAAATGCTGTACAGTATACTGTAATTAATATCAGCGAGACCTTCGGCGCGAACATGAAAGTATTCGTAAGATTCAGCCGCTGTTAGTTTCGTCCTTGCATCTTGATTTAGATATCGAAAGTCATTAAAGTACATGGTGCATTCAAATTCGGCTAATACTGTATTACAAAGCACTGCATTGTAATGTACTACTGCATATTTTCTCGAAAACGAGATTGGTATCCTCAAGATATGATTAAAGCATATAAAGTGCGGATTGAGAAAAATATGAATGCATTGTATGCTTTTCAAAACCGAGAAATTAAGTATGCTCTAAACTTCTGGATCTGAATGTAAGCAAAAAATAAACAACTTATTTTTCAAGTACTGTACTTCCACCGTCCTTCCGTTTGTTTATACCCCTTCCCATTGGTAGTTCCAATTAATTTTATTGATTCTCAGCAAGGACTTGCTTTGGAAACTGAGTCTTAAAATTGTGCTAGGAGCTTATTCTTAGAATATTGCATATTTCTAGGGAGTACAATAGAAATTATTGCGTCGAAAAGGTCCCGTTTGTGCGAGTTTGACAGTTGACATTTGTCCTGAAGTCTCCGTGGTTGGTTACGTGACTGCGAGGGTGCGTTGAATCGTAGCTCGGGAAATGGCGGGTTTCGGTCGGGAACGAATAGCCTGGACGAACGTGCAGCGTGGGATCGGGGATGGTGGGCAACAGGTGAAACTGTCGGCCATCCCATCCGGTGTTAATTGATCCTGGAGACAAAGCGTCTTGCGCGACACCGGAGAACCTATTCAAATCAGTTCGAACGGCGACAATGCAATGGCAGGGAAATGAGCGCCTCTTGTGCCGCCGCACGCTGGCGGAACGGAGGCTGTGTGGGTTGTTGATGCGAATAACCGGATTTTCTGAAAAGTTCATTACTTGTACCCTTTAATCGTGGACTTCGTTGCGAAGCCCATTGGGCGTTAGTCAAGCGTGACGCCGTAGTTGCGCCGCTTGCCCTCGGCGACCGATTCGTTTCTCAGGGCGTCGTTCGGGGACGGAAAAGTTTCTCCGAAGAAATTCTCTGTCAGGTCTTTGCTGGTGAGACGCAGTTATCCGAATCTTTTGTTTTACCCTTTTTCGACAGCCCCTCAATGAGGTTCGAGGGATGGTCCGCAAGTTCTGAAACTGATGAAAGTGATTAGAAAGGGATTCCGTTCCCGTCACCGAACGTATGTCTAGCCTTTGAGTTATGGTCGAACATTACTGGAAGTTCACCAAAAAATATCGTGATCGACCAAATTTCTTAATACTGTACAGTACTCCAGTTGGATCATGATCATTCTAGTGCACGGATCGTGGGTGTAAAATGCAGTATATGTGGAAAAGAGTAGGGGATCTGTACCTTCGGCAATGCTACACAGAAGCCTCTGCTCGATGATTGCATAAAATTAAATGCTGTGCAAATCTCATATTTCAGTCAGTGCTACGGGTTTTGCCTAAATTTTAGCGTTGAATTTTTCAAGTTGAGCGTTTTTCTAGGTTGGCTAGCTGTTGAGTTAGGTGGGTGTAGCTAAATATCAGGTAGGTCGAATTTCAACTTGCTTCGATTCCATTTTCTGGTAGTTTACCGTTCAGTCATATTGTAACAGGATTGTGCAGGTCAAGTTGGTCGACCCGGTCACATCCTGTAGAACTACATGAATAGGTCTTTAAAAAAGCCACCACCTCGTCACTGGTGGACACACCGTTGATGACTGTTGATACTGTGCAATTGTAGCAATAAAACGTTATTTGAAGTCAAGGGAGAATACAGTGAATGAATAGTATTATTTAAAAATTATGTCAGTGATCTCAAGTGAAAACAAGCATACGAGGCTCTGAAACTTCCGGACCATCCCTTGTATCTCTGCTTGTCCCGAGGCTGCAGTTAGAAAAACGCCCTACAGTATGTGGGACGCTCGTTCATTGAATTATTCAAGTAAGAACCTCAGGAATTCATCTCTGCGTTGCGTCTCCGGGGTATCGTTTCGCCGAATTACCCGAACGAACCCCTGCTGGACGCGGAGAACTCAGTTTTCCCCCGCCCTCGGATCCTTGTTCATAATTCAATTCCGGCGTTTTCGCCAACACTTGGGTGCAATCTGCAGTCCCTTTCGGATTCGAGCCGTTGACTGCCGCGCGGGTTCTTGACCATGCTGGAATTCGGGTGATGAAAATGCCAGAGTGGTCCGAGTGCCAGCAATTAGAATTAGCCAAGAGATCCCGGCACGCTTCCCGATAATAACAAGGTTGCTTATGGCATTGTGGAATGCGGCGGCGAAGTCGGGCCCCGGAGGCACGAGTCACAAAGGACGTCCGATCCCCTCCCCCTCTTCTCAGTTGTACAAATCGGTTTCAAGTAATTCGGAGAAGAATGGAATCGCGTTGCTGACATAGTTCCTCATTTCCTCGGCCGCTCCGAGTCCCTTTTTTCGGGCGCTTTTCCGTCGGCGATTGTTACACACGAGCCTCATGAGGCAATTTCCCTCTGAAATTTACGAGCAATTACAGTGTGTTTTTCCCGGACCGCGAGAGCGGTCGATTGCTCTGCACCTATGTGCCGGAACGAGCGAAAAAATCCCCTCGATTAATAGCCAATCAAAATGAGTATGAATTACGGCTCGCCCCGTCGCCTCATCACGTGCTCGTTTCCGTTTTAAGTCGCTGCGTCAGGTGAACGGAGACCTATTTTGCATAGCTTAATTCAAGCGTTCTTTGCGAGCGCTGCCGAGATGAAATTGTGTCTGATGAATTGTTCCAATTAAAACCCGCGGAATCGATCGCGTGTAGGAGACAGACGGAGAGAGAGAAAGACAGAAGCCCTTGAAAAGAAAAAGAACACCCGATGATGCTGGTGGTTGA